TTTAAACTAGGAGTAGTTAGTGGTATGGGTTTTGGCAGGAAAACAGTGAAGTCCCAGTGTAGTAATATTACGAGTTCTAGGGAAACTAGTAATAATAAGAACGAGGTAGATATTGAAAAGCCAGGGACCTTGGGTGATAAGGACAATAATAGGTTTAGTAGAAAAATAGAAATGAGCAGCAAGGGTAAAGAGAAAGGAGAGTCTTTCAATGTTTATTATGCTAATTGCCGTAGTGCTAGGAATAAGATGGACGAGTTGAGATTAGTTGCTAGTGCAGGTAACATTGATGTATTTGCCTTAACTGAGACGTGGTTTAATTCAAAAAGTCGGGACATGCCTGCGGAATGTCATATTCAGGGTTTTAAATTGTTCCAAGAAGATAGAAGTATTGGAAGGGGAGTGGGGTGCATTGTATGTCCGAGATCGCTTGAACTGTTGCATAAAAACGGGTATTAAGTCTGAAGTAACACATACAGAGTCTGTTTGGATAGAATTTTCAGAGGGGCATGAAAAACTGATTTTAGGAGTGATATACCGTCCCCCAAACTTAGATAGGGACCAAGGGAGACTACTATGGGAGGAAATTGTTAAGGCCACAAGGCACGATAATGTAGTAATTCTAGGAGACTTTAACTTTAGTCATGTTGATTGGAATTTCTTGGCTGGGAATTTAGAATCATACGACTTCTTAGAAGTATTTCAGGATTGTTTTTTGAAGCAGTTTGTGACAGAACCTACAAGGGGAAATAACCTGCTTGACTTAGTTATGGCAAACAATGAATCCCTTGTTAATAATTTAGAAATTTCAGAGGAACTGGGTGCTAGCGACCACAAATCAATTACATTTAGCATTGAATGGAAGTACGATAGCAGCGATAACTCAGTAACAGTCCCAGATTTTCGCTTAGCAGATTACGATGGGCTTAGAGAACACTTATCATCTGATGACTGGGGTAACGAAGAGAGCTATCAATATGACAGTTTTCTGAACACTATACATGCTGCTCAAAGAGCGTTTATCCCATATAAAGAAATTAGATCAAATAGAAATGACCCAAAATGGATGAATAATAGGCTCAAATATCTACTAGGGCATAAGAAAGGAATTTATAGGCGTATCAAAAGAGGTGAGGGTCATCTTATGAATCAGTATATTGACATTAAGAGGGACATTAAAAAGGGGATAAGAAAAGCTAAAAGGGACTATGAAATTAAAGTTGCTAGGGATTCTAAAACTAACCCAAAAAGTTTTTTTCCAGGTCTATAGAACAAAAGTTAGAGATAAGATAGGTCCCCTTAAAAATAACTATGGGCACCTTACTGACAAAGAGAATTAAGTGTGCTTGATTTTAAATAATTATTTTCTCTCAGTTTTTACACAGGAAGACACTAACAATATTACAGTAATTAATTTTTACAGTGGGCTAGAAGATAAATTATGTAACATCACAGTCACTAGTGAGATGGTTGTGAAGCAGATAGACAGACTGAAGCAAAATAAGTCGCCGGGCCCTGATGAGGTTTTTTCAAGGGTTCTTAAGGAATGCAAAATGGAACTCTGTGAACCATTAACTAATATTTTTAATTTATCTCTTCAAACAGGTGTAGTGTCTGATATGTGGAAGATGGCTAATGTAATTCCTATTTTTAAAACAGGGGACAAGTCGTTACCGTCAAATTACCGCCCAATAAGCCTGACCTCAATTGTAGGCAAATTACTAGAGTCAATTATAGCTGAGATTATAAGAAGCCATCTCGATAAGCATAGCTTGATTAATGATACCCAGCATGGATTCACAAGAGGCCGGTCTTGTCTAACTAATTTATTAACTTTCTTCAGTAAAGCTTTTGAGGCTGTTGACCACAATAAAGAATTTGATATTATTTACTTAGATTTTAGTAAGGCTTTTGATAGAGTTCCGCACCATAGACTGTTAAAGAAAGTGGCAGCTCATGGCATTGGGGGAAAAGTGCTCTCGTGGATCGAGTCATGGCTCACTGACAGGAAGCAGGGAGTGTCCATAAATGGGGGTTTAAGTCCGAGTGGGGATCTGTAACAAGTGGCGTTCCACAGGGATCAGTCTTGGGCCCGTTGTTGTTTATAATATATAAACAATGATCTTGATGAGGGAATTACTAGTGATATGAGCAAATTCGCCGATGACACAAAGATAGGTAGGATAATTGATTCAAACGTAGATGTTATGGAACTTCAGGAGGATTTAAACAAACTCTATTCTTGGTCAGAAAAGTGGCAGATGCAGTTCAATGTAGATAAATGCAAGGTTCTGAAGCTCGGGAGTGCCCATAACCCTAGTACTTATAAGTTAAATGATGTAGAACTTAGCCATACAGATTGCGAAAAGGACTTGGGGTTATGGTGAGCAGCAACCTTAAACCAAGACAGCAATGCCTAAGCGTACGTAATAAGGCAAATAGATTACTGGGATTAATATCAAGAAGTGTAAGCAACAGAAGTCCAGAGGTCATACTGCAGTTTTATACATCATTAGTAAGGCCTCACCTAGATTATGCAGCTCAGTTCTGGTCTCCGTATTACAAAATGGACATAAATTCGTTAGAAAACATTCAGCGTAGGATGACTAAATTAATACATAGCATTAGAAATCTTCCTTATGAAGAAAGATTGAAGACTCTTAAGTTACATTCACTTGTTAGGCGAAGAATGAGGGGAGACCTGATCGAAGTGTATAAGTGGAAGATAGGTATTAATAAAGGGGATATTAATAAGGTCTTGAGGATGTCTCTCCAAGAGAGAACCCGCAGTAATGGATTTAAATTAGATAAGTTTAGATTTAGAAAGGACAAGGAAAGTATTGGTTTGGAAATAGGGTAGTTGATGAGTGGAACAGTCTACCTAGTTGGGTTATTGAGGCTGGGACTTTGGGTAATTTCAAATCTAGGTTGGATAAGTACATGAGTGGGAGGGGTTGGATTTGAGTGGGACTTCACATCAGAGCTTATTTCTTGGTGGGCATTGAAAAATTGGGTTGGGCAAATGTTTTGTTAGTGGGATGAATTGTAAAGGACCTGCCTAGTATGGGCCAGCAGGCCTCCTGCAGCGTTCCTCCTTTCTTATGTTCTTATGTTATGTTTACCTATTCGGCACAACATTATATATATATATATATATATATATATATATATATATATATATATATATATATATAATATATATATATATATATATATATCAATGAAATCACGAAACAAGTGATTTTAAATCATTTACCAAACTGCGGCAGGCCAGGACTCAACCCTACGAACCTTGTGCCGTCTCCAGAGACAGCACAATGTACGGAAGTCCTTACCACGGAGCAAGCGATCCTACAAGAACCAAGCACACAGCACGGAGGAGTATATGGAGAGAAAAAGAGAGGTTAAGAGAGTGCGATTTGGAAAAGGCGTATGACAGGGTGGATAAGGAAGCAATGTGGCAAAAGCTGCAAATGTATGAAATAGGAGGTAGGTTACTGAAAACAGTGAAGAGTTTTTACGAGGATAGTGAGGATCAAGTTAGAGTATGAAGGAGACTGGGAGATTATTTCGCAGTGAGAGTAGGCCTTAAACAAGGATGTGTGATGTCTCCATGGTTGTTTCAACGTATTTATAGATGGGGTTGTAAGAGAAGTGAATGCTCGGGTGTTGGCAAGAGGAGTGTGGTTAAAAGATAAAGAATATATCACAGAGTGGGAGTTGTCACAGTTGCTTTTTGCTGTACTTCTGGGAGATTCTAAAGAGAAGTTACAGAGGTTGGTGGATGAATTTGATAGGGTGTGTAAAAGAAGAAAATTAAAAGTGAATAAAGGAAAAAGTAAGGTGATGAGGATAACATAAAAATTAGGTGACGAAATATTAGATATCAGATTGGAGGGAGAGAGTATGGAGGAGGTGAATTTACTTTGATATTTAGAAGTGGACGTGTCAGCAGATGGGTCTATGAAAGATGAGGTGAATCAAAAAACGGAAGTAAAAAGCTTCCCGATGGAGTCACTATGCTATCCTAGAAGGATAGTAAGCAAATTGCCTGGGACTACACCTCTGCCACCACGTTGGCGGATACCTACTTGCCATACTCTGAAGCCGGAGGGGGCAGAGCCGTTAGTTACAGGGAGACCCAGAAGACCCACAAATATGTAGACCTGCCCCCTTGCTATAGCTTCATCCCAGTAGGTTCGGAGACTCTTGGAACATGGAGCAAGTGTCCTCTAAAGTTCTTCAGAGAGCTGGGTGAAAAACTCACCACAGAGCGGACAGCTTCCACTTTCACCACTGTGGAGCTGGATGAAGTATTTGAAATGTAGGCTCGGGCATATTATTAACGATGTTCTACTTCCTATTGTGTTTTTAATATATATATATAATATATATAATATATATATATATAAAATATATATATAATATATATATATATATATATAATCATATCGGCCGTTTCCCACCAAGGCAGGGTGGCCCGAAAAAAGAAAAACTTTCATCATTCACTCCATCACTGTCTTGCCAGAGGTACGCTTACACTACAGTTATAAAACGGCAACAGAGTGCCGGCATTGTATTTCCCACCTCCAGGACTCATGTCCGGCCTGACGGTTTCCCTGAATCCCTTTATAAATTTTACCTTGCTCGCACTCCAACAGCACGTCAAGTCTTAAAAATCATTTGTCTGCATTCGCTCGTATCTAATACGCTCACGCATGCTTGCTGGAAGTCCAAGCCCCTCGCACACAAAACCTCCTTTACCCCCTCCCTCCAACCTTCCCTAGGTCGACACCTAGCCCACCTTATTATATATATATATATATATATTATATATATATATATATATATATATATATATATATATAATATATATATATATATATATATATATAATCTCAAAACTTTGGCAACGCAGAAACTAACCAGATGATAAAATGAAAAAAAAACACACACTTAAAATGGTCTAAATATATAATAAAAAATCTTCGGTTTGTTTCTAGGGCGAGTGTGAGGAGAGCAAGATGAGAGCATTGTGGACGTGTTTGTGTGTGGGCGTGTTGACAGCCACAAGCGCCACCAAGTTGCACAACTTGCAAAGGGAGGCACCGATAGTAAGTGCACTTAGTGCAGTGATTCTGTACAACTCTGTAATGAAAAAAAATATTTGCATTTTCATCATCGTTAATTTAGTTGTGTTACATTAGGAATGCACTAGATAACCATCAATAATTCTGACTGAAATCTATTAAATTTACCAGCAGGATGGGAAACTAGCCATGGATGACTATCCCCTGCAGGAGGACGACCTACTGGATAAGCATCAGCTTCTCTTACAAAGGGAAGACGAAGAACTGGCTCAGCAAAATCTGGATGATTCTTTTCTCAACCTGTAAGAACTTTTGTGTATCCCGTCTGTCTCTCTTATTGTTGTAAAATTTTAAGAGGACCAGATTACGTTTCATTTTCTTTCAGGGCGTAGATCAAAGTCTAACATTATTCTGACGTAACAAGAGAAACCTTACATTACAACACATTAAATGATAAACATGCGACAGCTATTACAAAAAAATATTATTTTTTTATATTATTGCCTCAGTTTTTGTTAGCAATATTTATGTGTATCATTCTTGTATTTACAAACCATTAAACAATAAATAACAAGTTGTAATAAGTTTGAGGGCATGTTTAGTTCAGTGTGTCACATTTACACTCTCAAAGTCCAGGGTCAAAGTCCAGGGTCAAAGTCCAGGGTCAAAGTCCAGGGTCAAAGGCTCTAAGATTATCTATCATCAGTGAATGTTGGTTGGCAGCTCATGTGAACTGGACACTAAAAGAACATTGGGAAAAGAACATTACGTCTTGTTAAATCTGGCTACCCCTATTCTAAGTTACGAATTAAAGACACTCGCTGCAGAATAAGCTTTTAATGGGACAACATTTAGCTGTGTGTAGAGCAAAACGCTGTTCCAGTACCTAGAGTTTACCTGGAGAGGGTTTCGGGGGTCAACGCCCCCCCGACTCGGTCTGAGACCAGGCCTCATGGTGGATCAGGGTCTGATCAACAAGGCTGTTACTACTGGATGACTATCAGTACATCACATTCTTATTTTAAAACGTCAGTTATTGAAGTTTAAATCATCGTCAACCATTTCACGTTTCCTAATTTTTCACAGTTAGCATTTTCTTTAAGTTAGATTAAGGTAATTGGACATACAAAAACATATATTTAACCACAAATAAAAACAAGCCGTAATAGGGTTGACATCAAGGTGGCCGAGGTTGGCTAGGAAACGTGATAAATTTGACGTTAATACTTCTGAGGCGAGAATGAGTGAGGTTATTTCTCTCAGTGAGAGAAGTGATATTTCTCTTAGTGAGAAAATAGTTGACATTATTTCTCTCAGTGAGAGAATAGTAGACATTATTTCTCTCAGTGAGAGAACAGTTGACAATTGTTTCTGACAGTTTTCTCTAACTATTGTTTTAGTGATTAAAGACTCATTTAAATTTAACATTAGGTAAAAGCCCTTGTGTAATCGATGAGCTTTCAATCCGACTAAGAAAATCACTAATGAGTTGGACGATAACGATTTCAAGATTCATTTTATCGTTCCGAGAATCTGTAAGTCAAGAGAGAAGTGATTCCTCTCATTGTTATCAACAGTTTTTTCTCCCCAGGAACAGACAAGAGGCGGATAATACCTCCAGACACAAGCCAGTGAACTCAGCTGGGCGGTTAGTACACTGAAACACTTTAATCCACCTGGATTCTCTGTTTTTTCTCCTTTGTCGAGATGCACTGTGTGATGCTTGCCATTTTGCACGTACTGTGAATATGTATTTAAGTATTTGAAGATAATTTACCATTTAATTTACTAATGAATTACCCGTCATAAGACGTAAATTAACAAAAATGTTTTCTCATTGTTACCTTTAGCTTTTAAAAAAGCTCGAGGAAAACCAAGCTCTTGCACTTGACATTTACTTTTTGAAACAGCATAATAAGACACAAAGAGACATTAAATGCAGGCGTTTAGCAGATGTGTTGACACTTATGGTAGAGCCATCATATGTGACAGTGGTGTCGAGGATACCTTTGTAGTACACCTGTCGGCGAGGAGGGAGGGGCAACGATTTGACTAGTGCCGCATACACATCACATTAACAGTTGACAGGCTGCCGCAAGGGACGCCCTGCCTTTCACCTGGCTTCGTGACTAACATACTATACATCATTCGTGTATGTCGTTTACATGACCAGTGTGTCTTGGACCACGTAATGAAAATGAATGATGTTGTTGTGTACTGGTGTACTGCAGTACGTTGTTTTTCAGGCCTAGGGACTGTGCTGACCACTTGATTGGGGGATCCACCACCAGCGGAATATACGAGATCTACCCCTTCACGTGAGTAGCCAGACCGGACTCTTACTTTCTTTAGTAGGAACCGTTAACTAACCTACTGAAGGTAGGTTACTTGTTAGCAACCATACAAACACCAGTAGTGTTTTGTTGTTTATATTCGTCATGAGACAAGACAAAAGTCTTCTGATACGGGTCTTGATCATAGGGATGATCCTGCTTCAAGACACAGCAGTCACAGCTCTTTGTAAAAGTTAATTCTTTATCACCTACTTGTTGAAAGTCGTCTCACTACCTGAGTCTGTTCAGTAACTACCACAGGTGCATGTGGTGACAATTACGAGTGTATCACTACAACAGGTGCACATGCAACGGGCCCGTGCGGGTATGGTGTGACATGGAGACAGATGGAGGTGGTTGGACTGTGTTCTTGAAGCGTCAGAACCAATCTAGACAAGTGAACTTCAACCGCACGTGGGCTGAGTACAAGGATGGCTTCGGTGACCCCAGTAGGGAATATTGGCTAGGTACGCTTCTATTTACACTTTTATATCTAGTGTGAATGTTTTAATAAATAAGAGACCATTTTTACATTAAATAGCAAGTACATTTTTTGTCGGTCAAAACGTGTTTAAAAGTACTTACTGTGTAGAACTGAGCAATATTAAAGGGTTATTATTCACATTGTAGGTAACGAAGCTCTGTACAAACTGATCGCCAGCCGAGAGTACGCAATTCGTCTGGACCTCGAATACAAGACTGGGATTTCTCAATACTACACTTACTCCATTGTCAAAGTTGCCAACGAAGCAAACAGGTGAGATGGAAAGTCAATAGCACGAGTTATCACTGAGATGCAATACTATCTATGATATGCTACCACCACCCCCTCCCACCCTTCACTTGATGTGACCCACAGCGTCGTTACCATTCGAACACCTATTTAGCACTAGGCTAACAGGGGTAGCAGGTGTAGAGAGACTTGTTCATATGTTCCTCTCTGCTCAGGAAATGAATCTGGTTGTTTCAGTTGAGAATCATTGTTGTAATGAACTACAGGTCACTTCGTTCTTGTATTATGTGTTCTCATCTACAAGATACAATGTAACTGCTGGATTGTGTCCCTTGTTGAACTGCATGATAACTGTCACAGCGGGTCTAAGAAAGGCATCGTCAAATGACATAAAACTAGCCCCTAGGCTACTCAGTGAAATAAAAAGGAATAGTTCAGAGTGCAGAATAAATTTCTTACACTGTTAAATATCTAAACATGATGAACGACTGTTTAGGGTTTGAAGTCTATTAGAAAAATCATTCCTTATTTATTGCCTGCAAACTATTTTATTCAATAAATTTAAGAAATTTAAACTTACACATCCCAAAAACAATGCAAAAGTTCCTTTTAAAAAACACACAAGAGCTTGAAGTTTGAAGCTGACCAGAAGTTGCATTAACGCGTATTACTGCATAGACTAAGAATTGCAAGTTTATTAACAATATTAGTAACTTAACGATTTGGACGTACACTTAAGTATACCTGAAGTTATACTTAAGTTGTTTTACAGAAAAAATATACAGTATTAAAACTGAAAAAAAACTTGCACCTTACACACTACAATAATAGTTCCAACCCTCACCTAAGTAGGAGAGTTGAGAGTTTGAAGCCGATATGATGAGGCGTTCTAAAGTTATAAACGAAAACTTCGGAAAAGAAGACTGTATCAGGAAGAAAACAGCACTGCAGGGTAGGGCGTGCTAGGGCGTGCTAGGGCGTGCTAGGGACTAGGGTAGACTAGCGAGGGAGGAGAGTACAACAAAGGTATAGTAAGGACGGTGAGATATGAGCTAAATAAGAACAGCTGAGGAATTTATGTAATATGTTGCAAATCGGCACTTGCCTAATTCAATATCATTGCAATGCTTGCACTTAGTCCAACACTGAACGTTGATGCCAATCACATTATGTAGTCCAGAAAATTTAGTTTGAATTTTTTTTTAATTTAGACAAATTCTTCAATAAAACTATAAAAATGGTCCCGTTGCAACTCAATAACAATATAAAAAAATATAATTTTAAAGTACAACATTTTATGGGGTTTGAAGTCACTCAGAAAAATTATTCCCCAGTTATAGAATGAAAAACAATTATACTAAAATTGGCAAATTAAAGTATATTAGATGGGACACTCTTCAGTTATTGCTCAAAATGCAACGATTTCAAGTTTATTATTGTAAGAAAATAAGCAATTTTCATCTACAAGATTTAAATCGTTCTAAAGTGGAATATTCCTATAATTAGATAAAATTGAGAAATATGAAGTTAAACCTTTCAGTAAGAACATAAACATTATTCTAAGCAGGATACACTTGTGTTCTAAGTGTGAAGATGATCAGTAATCTCACGACCACAAAATCAGGAAGGTGTGTATGTAACATTCACTAGAAGGCCAATAAGTGCTAACAAATTTTCCTAGCTACAGTACAGCAACCTTGAAAATTTGAATCCTGTCTGATGAGGCTTTCTTAAGTTATGAATGAAAATAATTTGATGGAGAAATCAAATTCGGGCCACTTAAAGTGCCCTTCTTGGATGCCTATTACCATGTATTGCTATGTGCATATGCAGAGACTGTATATGTTTAATTAATACAGGAAACTGTAAACATCATGTAAGTGATTGTCTTTATGTTGGTCAGCAGTTTGATCAAAGATATAGTCATTTTACTGTAACAGAGGTAAACAACTTGGGGACGGGAGTGTTTGTACCAATGGGAAGTCACTAATACGACAGACCTTATCTACTGTACCATACCGGGTGTTTGGTTCGATGTATAACGCACTGAGCTGCTAGTTTCAGTACTAGCTATTGTGGAACAGAGGTAAATTATTCGTCAGTGTAAATAAGAGTTGACTGTTACAGTAGTGTTTGGTTCATCACCACAGATACAGGGCGAGTGTCCAGGGGCCCGTGTCTGGGACAGCGTCCAGCAACTGCTTCAGTCTTAACAGCGTCTTCACTACTTACGACAATTATGGCGACATTAACACTGGTAAGTTGGTCAATTGAACTATTTGGTTTCCTTGAAATTTAGGAAAAAGATGAACGTGTCATGAATGACAAATAAGAACCATCCATTCACACTGTAACTTAATACAACTGTATTATTCTAGCTATCATCTTGTAAAAAAATTGCAAAAATATAAAATGTAAAAACCCGTATGATATAAGAATGATCAGTAAAAAACTGATCATTCACTTAGTCATCTTTCAACATTTATGAATTTACAGAATTGCTAAATGTATAAACTTTATTTACATTAAAATTATTCTGCTAAAAATCTCGTTTAATGAATATTATAAGTAGATAAGCAGACATTTTAAAATAATGAGCAATAATACATTCATTATTATACATCCAATAGGCTGAGACCAGTGAAATACAATCTAAAATTCAAAAGGATTAAATTGGTCAAGATAAATTTTTGCCTGAAATCTTTACAACAAATTCATTCACGGTAAAAAATTTCCTGAACACTTTTAATACTCCTGGTTGTTACTATTCTCTTGATTATGGACTCTTCGCTGACAATTTGGTAGAATAGGGAAAACAAAAATGCCTGCTCTTTAATATCACAAAAAAGCCCCAGCTATTGATCATAATATAACTGCACGTAGACGTCTGGAGGACTGGATATCCAAAGTATCCGTACTTGTAGAAATGCCTTATGATGACTGGAGATCAAGGGTATGTGAACCTGAATTAAGTCACTTGAGAACAGGAGATCAAAAGTATCTGAACCTGTAGTGAAGCCTCCTGTGGACAGATCAAGAGTATCTGAACCTGTAGTGAAGCCTCCTGTGGACAGATCAAGAGTATCTGAACCTGTAGTGAAGCCTCCTATGGACAGATCAAGAGTATCTGAACCTGTAGTGAAGCCTCTTGTGGACAAATCAAGAGTATCTGAACCTGTAGTGAAGCCTTCTGAGGACAGAACTAGGAAATAAATTTTATAAATGCCGAAATATGAGGGTTTTCAATAAAAATGAGAAGTATCCCAGGTACTGATAGACGATTATAATTTGCAGTAAGAATTTTAAAAGTAAATCTTGTAAACGACAGAAATTTAATTTACTGCAGCAGATCAGAGAAAGAACAAAGTGTAATCGAGTGCTTGAGTTTGGAGAGCATTGGATATATTGTGGAAATATTTACGAATAATAAGGATGAAATAGGAAACATAATACTTTACGGGTAGAGAGAGTAAAGGTTTTAACCTTGTAAAATAACAGAAATGGGTCTTATGAAGGAAGCTGACAATTAGCTAACATACAACAAAGTGTTAATGGATGATGGGAGTTAAAAGTCTTACAGATGTCCAGAGTTATGACGAAAGATTCACCATAATCTGGAGGCCAAGTTGACCTAAATCTGAAGTAAGAAACAACACTACAAGAACTGACTTCACAATATTCATTCTAATGATCAAAGAACATTACTACTCATTGCTCTCCAATAACCGAAGTAGTTCTGAGATGATATAAGTAATAGTAATTCAACTGACTTAATCGCCTTTCTCAGAGACAGAGTGAATCACTGCAGAAGGAATGATCTTAATGGATAAGCAATAAAGGAACAGAGGAGTTAATACGCAGGATCTTAAGAACATTCCATCAACATCGGCGTATAAAGCAACTTTAAAGACATTTGAATTTAGACAAGGAAGGGAAAGAAAATTGGTAGGGATTGTTTTTTTTTTTTTTTTTTTTTTTTTTTTTTTTTTTTTTTTTGCAAAAGACCGAAGGGTAAGTTATGGATGTGAAGAATGATAGATGACCACTGTTCTTTATAAATGTTCTTAGATGTACGAAAAGTGGACTCTGCATTATTTATGAGAGAAATATGTAGAGTATGGTTACGAATATAAGGCATCTTTTTCCCCCATCACTCTTAATGCATTATACCACTATTAAACCACAAGGAAATATGACTTATGAAAGCATAATTTAGAGGTGGACAAGGGAGATCTAAAAGAGTTTGAGATGTATGCTTCCACTTCAGCATTAATAAGAGATTTATTATTATATCCCCAGATAACATGTCAGATCCAGCACTGAGATCCCTTCCGAATGATCAAGTTTAATTTTCTTCATTGAGAGAGAAATTATGCAAGACTCTTACGTCTTCGTCATTATCTTATCCACAGGAAACTGTGCAGCAGTTAGAGGTGGCGGCTGGTGGCACAACAGCGGCTGCCGCTACGGTAACCCAACGTCACCCTACAACCAGGGCCTCAACTACACATGCTATTCCACCACCTCCGTGGTCACCAAGGTGCAGGTGAAGATCAGACCCACCGTCTGCGACAATGCTTTCAAAACTGTCTACCTCAACTCCAAGAACTGTGGCGGCTGTCACAATAATAATGATGATTCACGAGAGTTGTTGTGATGCACGAGCCACACTGTGACATAGTGAATTACATTTTGATGTACGACACTAGCAACAATATGACATAATTGCAACTATGAATGACAGTGTAACGCATAACCAAGACCAACAATGTGACGCGTAACCAGAAGCGACAGTGAGACACAGTTACCAATATGCACGACGGTCTGCTACTCGATCATGGTTAATAGTGTGACACACTGCCACAAGACAGTGTGACGCATCACGCACGACCACAAGCAACAGTGAGATGCACCACCACGAGCACCAATGTGACGCACCATCACGAGCAACAACGCGACGCACCACCACGAGCAATAATGTGACGCAGAATGGCAACCACAAGCCATAGTGTGGCATACGACCACAAGATAAAGTGTGAGGCACGAGTGTAAGAGTTTGAGGCACAAGTGTGAGGCACAAGTATGATAGTGTGAGGCACAAGTATGAGAGTGTGAGGCACAAACACCAGTACCACCGTACCGTATTCTACTTGTCTCATTCTGTGATAACTCACAAGTAGCAAACATCTAAACAACTACTTCGGTGCAAACCAAAAATGCGTAAAAAAATTTTAACTCGTGAAAGAGTCAATTAGAACAAGAAATATAACCTGCCAGACACCACACAACCCGCGGCTGACTTTGGTAGAAAAATAAAAAACTTTCTTACTATTATTTATACAATAAATATATATTAAATTTACTGTAGTTGTATGTCTGATTTTAGTGTTTTACTAAATACAATTTATTGCATCATTCTTATTGTTTTAATTCCCATTACTCTTATACAATAGAGTGAACAATGCCATAAAAGTACTGAAGAAATCATTCTTATAAAACAGAGTGAATATAGTCATACTACACACCTCGCTCTTATACAGAAGAGTGAATGTAGTCATACTACACACCTCGCTCTTATACAGAAGAGTGAATGTAGTCATACACAGTACTGACGAGCTGGGTAGTTTGTCTTCTTCACCAGATGATGGATTATCTAATCTTTAAGAGAATTTCCCTAGAACGAAGAACTGGTTAATTTACATTTCTCCACAAAGTTTATCTCGTTCTCAGGAACCAGCACGATATATGCTTGTTGATAAATGATTCTAGCATATTAATTTTCCCCTGACTAAATCAATGGTTCCTCTTAAGAAGAAAGATTTTGCCTAACACCAAATAATGGATTTCAAAAAGTTAAATGAAAAGACACCTGCCAGTTCCCATTGTCAGTTCTGAATGTTTCAGTAAAAACAACTGAGATTAATTATTTTACACATCAAATTATCTTCAAAGGTTCTAAATAATTCTTTTGAAAGAGAAAAGATAAAAATGACAGAAATTTCTGCACCAACTGGAAACTGCCACATCTTAAAAATTTATTTTGCTTTGGAAAATGGCAATGATAAATATCTTGAAAAACTTGAGAATATATTCCCTAATGGACCATCATTTTGATCCCATTGTAATTTCAAATGACACAGCGACTCATCAGCAAAATGTAAATCAAATGTCCTTTTCTCAAAAAAAGAAAAAAAAGGACCTCTCAAATGAACTTAGGCATTATAATTCGTATAATTATTTTTATAATAAAAAAGAAAATCTAATCCTACCAGGGTCATACAGAATAATGTTTCCATTTAAAGAACATTTATCTTATTTAATTATTAGTTTTATTATTATTATAAAAACTAGGCGCTAAACCTGCAAGAGTCATACAGCTCTGCAGGATAAGGTGTGCACACGTTTTAATATAATTGATCTGAAATTAGCAGGGCGGAGAGTATAACAGAGGAAGAGTTTGTAAGGGCTGTGAGGAGTGCTAAAGGAAGTATAATGAAAGGCTGTGTAATAAATCGGTTGCTATCAAAAAGTTAAAGAGGGAGTCTGAGTCAAAGGTGAGTCCGTCAGCGAGGAGGGAAGATAAAGGGTGTTAGAGCGGTGACAACGTCGGAGGTAAAATCTGCGTGCTGGCTGATAGAAAAGACAGTCCAATAGAATGTGGCAAACTGAAATTGGAGCCTAACAATTCGCACAAAGTGGAACTGGGCGCCTCTCCATGAGATACCCATGAGTAAGACGTGTGCCCAATGTGAAGATTGGAAAGCGTATTCTCCGAACCACGACATTGATGATAAGATTAGGATCCTCAACCCGGCCTGATAGAGCGTAATTTGTCGTGAATCAGTTCAGACCAGCGTTGTTGTCAACGGCCGTGCAGGTGGCTAGAGATTACAGCAAAATAATCTAAGAATGGAATACTTCTGTATGAAATTGTAAGGACATAGACCACTGACTGCGCAGCAGAGTCCGCCTGCTCGTTTCCCTGAACATTAACATGACCAGGGACCCAGCAGAGAACGATTTCTTTGTTTTCCTAGAAATGCGGTGCAACCAAAGTTGTATACGAACAACTAGGGGATGAGGCGAATTAATTTTTTTTGATAGCTTCCAAAGTACTAGAGGAATCCAAGACTACCACAAATGTTGAGGTAGGCTTGGACGCACTGAGGACAATAGCTAAGAGAGATGCATACAGTTCAGCTATGAAAATGCTAACTGAGTCTAATACATGACCTCACAGAACACTGTGCAGGAACACTGCTGCAAACCTGATACTGTCAGAAGATTTAAAACCATCAGTGTAAACTGCAACAGCATGAGAATGAGACCAGAAGTGGTTAAGAAAAAGGTAGTGAGAAGTAACTGTAGGTATTTGAACTTTCGCGCACGGCAGTGGGGAAGAATAGACACGAACTATCGGAACCTCAAAGGGAAAATTGAAAAGTTAGATGCTAGATGAATATACAGTGTAACCTCGGCTTATGAGTGCTCCAGGATACGAGCAGTTGCTTGGTCGATTTTTTGTTTCTGGATACGAGCAAAAATTCAGGATGCGAGCTTCCCCCTCAAACAATTATTTTTAGACCTCCATTGTAATTCAATGTCTTGATGTATTATGTTGTTTTTACTGCTTAAGACAATAACTGCAACAGAAATAATAGTATTTCTTACCTTAAATTGTGGGTGCTGAGGTGGATGGTAGAGGTTCTGGTACTGAAGTCGATGGTTGTACTGGAATAAGCATAAATTCTGTAATGGATTTCTGTTCTATATTACCCAGCAGGACATTATATAACTGAGGGTAAGGCATATGTTACTCTAAACACCGTTTCAGGGTCCTCTTCAGAGAGAAAGTCATACTTTAAGTCATTCAGTAAGTCAGCCAAGTCATTCTGTCAGTCAAGTCAGTAAGTCAGTTAAGTTTGTAAGTCAGTCAGTCAAGTAAAAGTCAGTTAGTCAAGTCAATAAGTCAGTCAAGCCAGTAAGTCAAGTCAGTAAGTCAAGTCAGTAAACGAGTTAGTCAAGTCAGTAAGTCAGTCAAGTCAGTAAGTCAGTCAGTCAAGTCAGTAAGTCAATCAGTCAGTCAAGTCAGTAAGCCAGTCAGTAAGTCAATCAAATCAGTCAGTCAAGTAAGTGATTTGTACTTTGGATTACGTGCAGCCAGCAGTAACAGCCTGGTTGGTCAGGCCCTGATCCACCATGAGGTCTGGTCATAGACTGGGCAGCAGGGGCGTTGACCCCCACAACTCTCTCCAGGTATACTCCAGGATTCAGTCAAGTCAGTAAGTCATTCAGCAACACTGGTATGCCTACTAGGTGTCATGATTGCTTGGCAGATACAAGATATGACAATTAACAGATCAAAAAAATTCGCCAACACAGCTAGCTTGTAGGAGAGAAGTGGAACTGAACACGTAAGCTGGGATGGTGGTGTCGGGAGTGTCAGGGGATGGCCCTAGGTCTCCCCCGCTGACGCACAACAAGGCGGCATTTTGAGGTAGGGAATGACCGCCACCACTTGTCACATGACATTTTATTCATTAAATATTTATTGGGTTTCTATTTTATTTACATTTTGTATTGTGTCATATTAGATTAATTGCGATAGAGTTAATACGTATTGGCATTGTGAGGGAGAAGTTCAATAGATAGGAGTAGCGAGGGAGTATACAGTAACAATAGTTTCATTGCCGGCTACTTGTTAAGGTGGAGTAAGTCCAGCTCCCGCTATTTCCCCCCTTTTTTCCCCCTCCCCGAAAGTGATAGTTTGATTGCCGGCTGCTTGTTAAGGTAGGGTCAGTCTAGTTCCCGCTATCCCTTCCCCTCCCTCTTTCCCCCCCCCCCCCCGAAAGGTGACGTGTGGGGCTTCGGCCAAACAGTAATCACTCGACTCACAGCTCCCATCACTACTATAAGTACATGCCTGCTCATATTCTAGTGGACTTATTGGTTGAAAGCTTCACTTTTGACCAATAATAAACTTAGTCCTTTCAGTCTTGCTCTATGTTAAATGTCTTAATAATCACCACATCTTTTAGGTATTGTACTTATCATGGAGAGTGATTTCTTAAGCAGTGGGTAACCTGTCTCTCTTTCCAGTTTGGAATGACAGAATGGGTCACCTGCCAACCAACGAGTAGAATTGAAAGAGACGGACTAACGTCCTGAGACGTCCCATGTTTTATCTACTTACCTGTGCACTTGTATGAAGTTGCAGGACGTAACCCCTCATCATTGCAGCGGCAAAGAACCTGCTTTCCTGTTATCTGGATAGATTATTTTACGGCTATAGACTCTGTGAAGAACGAGCCAGTGGGTTGTCACCAACACCTGCGACCCCCCCCCCACATCATCAGCAACGGCTACGATTTCAACAACACACAGTGTCACCAACACCAGACACCCAAGTTTTATATATATATTAGCGTTGAATTCAGATATCATTTATATTTTTCATTTTTCATTTTCTTTAATGTAGGATCAATATTTCATATTTAAGTGTTTTATATTTTATATTTTCTAAATAATAAAGTGTTTATGTTTGTCAGTTTTTGTTCTTTTTCTATGCATTAATTTTCCTGAGGAGGAGCCAGCCTTAGTAATACTGACTGCAGTTGTTACAGGGCTGAGTAAGCCTTCACAAGCATATTCCTGCCTCCTGAAAGCAGGAATTCCACTGGAACGGATTAATGGCATTTCAATTAATTTAAATGAGGAAAACTGACTCAGCATACGAGAAGATGGGGATAAGAGCAACGTCACGGAATGGATTAAACTCGTAAGCCAAGGTTCCACTGTGTATAGGAGAGCAACAGAAGAGAAGTCAAGAGTGAAGAAGAGAAGATGGACGGAGTAAACAGAGGCGGCAAACAAATAATGTACATCTACTAACGTCCATTTCAGTCCTGTATGTAGAAGGATCGTGAAAGTCATGAGAGTGGACAAAATAACAGAGGCAGGGAGGAGTGTAAAGCATCTAGACATAAACGATGATGGATGGGATGAAGTTTAGAAAGAGTTGTGGGAGAGGCCCCAGAATATATCTGGTCACTATAATTTAGTTTCGATAAAATTAAGCTGAATGTAGTCGATGGAGATTTCGATGATCTGCCCATCAGGAAAGATGAGCGAGAGTTTTAAGGAGGTTCAGCCGGCTATGGCAAATAGCTTTCAGGGAGGTAATGTGAGGTTTCCAGGACAGCCGGCGATCAAACAGAAGGCCGAGAAATCTGACACATTCCGGGATAAGAGAGTCATACAGGTACAATGGAGTATCAGAGACACCAGAATGTCTGGCGACAGCATTCTGGAGAGAGGTTGCCACTAGACCACTGTCAGCACAAGCTATAGCAAAGTCACCAACATAAGGTGATGATCAAATATTAGATGGGAGAACAGAGGTCGGGTCATTTATAG